TAATTGCAATAAAAATCAATTAATTATATGCATACTGCAAGGAGACGTCTCTTTATCATACTTCCGTTTTGAGACATCCTGTATTTCGAGCATTATTTGGCCACTTTCGCCAAAATAAAAAATAACGGAAAGTGGGATAACAAAAGGATAAAGGTGTCACAGTGATCACTGCTTGTTAAATTACAGTTAATTTACCGCAAAGACCATTGAACTCGATGTGAAATGTTCCAATACTGTTAATTTTACACGAGTACCTACGTCTCCGGACTGCTGCTACTTGAAATTGTTACACTTTTACCTGTACCTATATCTGTACTATCCGATTGGGACATGTACATATCAAATTCGTTCATGAAATAAAATTACTTAATCCTCTAATAGATAAACGATAAAGTTCAACAACAAATTATCAAAAGCAATGGCAACAGCTCATATTCCGAGATAATAAGATTTCCCAAGAAAGTTTATGGTAACTGTGACGTTTTTTATTGAAAATTTGCAAGCTCGATAAAATTACACAACATTTAAAAATGCACTCAATATCATAATCAGAATAAACATGATCGCAGGAATTACATCATCAAGTCAAATATACAGGTAAGGCAAACTATTCTTTTTTTCAAAGTATTCTTTTTTTGTAAAGCTTATGAAATTTAAAAAGAAAAAAAAACATACCATTTGTACACACCATCCTAAAATGATCGCCTGCCTAATTGATTCCGGGGTTAAATTTTGTTGATTTTCCAGCATTTTATACGCTTTAACAGCGAATAAGCCCCTGGTCTTCTTGCCATAAGGTACATTGTACTGCAGTACTTTAGCAAACCGTTTAGTGACTTCTGGTATGTCAGTATGACGACCAGCTTCGGTTAAATCGCGGACTAGATCGGGGAAAACTGCCATAAAATCACGACTTTCTTCTTTGGAAACAAATGAAACTTTTCCATTTGTTAGTTTCGGTGAAATCTTTGCATGTACAGTCGATAAAGCTCTGAAACAAAACGAAAATTTGTTTAACGGAAAAGTAACATACATATATTGAGAAAATAGTATGAGCACACTTCAACATAATCATAATAGCGATGAAACAAAATAAAAAATATACAAATTTTAACATATTTTAAATATTTTGTGCAGAATGCTATACCGTACTTTTTTGGCGATCTTATTCATTGTACATTTTGTTAGTGCGGGTTGTGTTGTGTTACTACAAATTTATTCGACAGGACATAAGCAAGAATTTCCACTTTCTCGAAATAGAAATAATTAAAAAAACCAATAAATAAATATACCGAATTTACAAATGCAGACTGAAAATAATTAACGATAATTACAACCAGCATAAATTTGTTTCTCCCAACCTTAGCTTTCATAGGATAATTAATTTACAGAGATGTGATTTATTTAAAATACTTGCATTTAAAATGCAAATACAAAATAAAAATTCCTATTTTTATCTTGCATTTAAATACTCTTTCGAGAAAAGCACTTTATATTTTTCCAAGCGTATCTGTAAGACGCATAATAAATTTTTGTAAATATTAGAAACTTAAAAGGGGAACAAAGAGACATTCCATGAATGGCTTCTAATTGTTTAACTGAAAAGAAAAATTCTAAATTCCTTGGAATCGGATAATCTAAAATATGGGATCGATATCGTTTACCGGGTTCATGGTCCATGGAATTTTGAATTTCCAAATTGATGCTAGCACCTGCCAAATCACCACTTATTGTATCTTTAGCAGGGAACTATGAAATTCTATGAATTACGATATAACAGCCCGCAAAATAATATCGAATTGATATACGCCAGCTATGTAAAACTGAAAACTACAAGATATTATGATCTGCTAATAAATGCCTATAATCCAAAATTGTTAGAAAACGATTCGAAGAACTTCACTTATTAGATGAATCCAAAACTAAAGAAACTGAATTCAATTTCTTTCTCTTATTACAATGTGTAAAAGATCTGAAACAAAATGCTGTTGTAAGTATTTTGATAGAAAACGATTGATGTTGATTTTACATCTGTTAAAGCCAGGTATAGAAACAGAAAATTAGTAAGTTAGGTTGTTTGGAATATTTAATGATTGTAGGTAGATTTTATGCTTTGGAATGTATTTGTAATTGTAATTGTTATCGGGTTGTGCTTCGAACTAACGATGGGAAAATCCAATCATTCACTTATCTAGGAAACGGTCTGAAAACGTGTACGTACAGGTCCACTACCCTGGAAAGTACACGTAGTCATATTCTTAGAATAGGTGGGTTGTTCCTCCCTACGTTNATGTACTGGCTAAAGAAGTAAATGGTAAATATATACTGAAGATCAGACTTGGCATCATCTCGATATACATCCAGAATTAGGCACATATAAAAAATCATTAAAAGTGCTACTCATAAAATTTTGTTAATTTGTCTGAAGTCGAACACGCAAAAGCTAATTAATTACAAAAGCATTAAATATCCACGTACCTATCGTTATTGTGCTTTCTTTGGTGTAACAGCCACATACTGTTAGTGTTTGACTTCCTGTTTGATGTCCTATCATTTTGTTGAAGTGTATAAATATCACTGTTTGGGGCACTACTCGTCTTATTAATATGTCTTTCTATTTGTTTTGTTATTTCTCGGCTTGTACGTTGTACATTTAGTTTCACAAAGCTTGAAAACATTTCTGCATTTAATTAAACACACGGTTTAATTCAATAATTGTCGAAAACCCGAAAAAATTGATGACGACGTATAAATAATAAATGAGCCGACAACACACTTTCGCTCAGAAAGCCAACTTGACACTGTTGGAAAAACAACGTCGTCTACCTATTTAACGGTTCAGAGAGAGATGAAAAGAAAACAAGGGAGACATCGCTCAAGAAGCATGGCTATCTTTTCGTTTCGTTCGTGTACTTGGTCACGTGCAACCAACCTGCTAACCTGGTGTACTATTATAAATTATAATAAGTACATATATCTAACAATAAGATTGTTTTTTTTTACAAAACTAATAGAGAAAATATTATTTTCTAATAATAAATAGCAATACCAAATTCTATAGTAAATAAAATATCTGCAATAATCTTTTGAACTATTAATATACCTACTTGTATTATGAATGCTATCATATGTATAGTACGTAAACAATGTTTTCTCAACCATCAATTGGTTTTATCGTTACGTATTACACATTCATAACGATTACAAAATTGGAATTAATTAACTACAATGTTTATCTACGTTGAATAAATTACAGATACATTTTTGCGCTTACTTTTGTAGAATAAACTGATAACATCTTCAGTTAGATAAATTAGGGACAAAAATTAAGAATTAAAAAAAAATAATAATTTAATTTGAGCTCCTCAATATATTTCAATAAGGTACCTATTCTTTCAAATATTTAAAAGAATTTTCTGCAATTTTCTGCGATAATATGGAAGCAGAAATACCAGTTATTATTTAATCACAAGTTTTTACACTTGTTAAAAAACACACCCACTTAACATTAGGCATGTTAGCTATACAAAGTCCTAAGGCAATTCTCACCTGCTTTTCTGCTTTGTGCTGAACTAAATGACTTATGTATGTGGGTGTCTACGTAGTCTATTACACGTATGTAAAATTACAGAAATAAGTCATTAAACATCACTTTGGTGTTCCAGCATTCGCTAATGAGGCTAGGTACTATGTATTTATATGTATCACATTTGTTCAAAAAATAAATGGGCAAAATATAAACGAAATACAGCATTTTTCGTTAAAAGTACATCTATACTATTTTGATATCAACAACTTTTTTTAATTAAAAGGTCATTTTTTACGAGGCACCAGGAAAATATGGTTTAAAAAAAATCCCTCTGCGTCTCACTCCTCCACCCCCATCAAAAATTACCTTTTAGTGGAAGACATCTCTTCCCATCCCCTATTTCCTTTTCTGACAAACGGTTTCATCATCTAGCTATATTCTAGACAAATAGCAATCCCAATTTTCACCTCCGACCTTTTCGTTTCCAGGTCTATCCTACAGGACATTCTCACCCATCCACCCTCTTTCCCCCCCATCGACCAATAGGTCCATCATCATCTAGATTTAAACATATTTATCAAAAATATTCCTAAAATTAACACACCCTAATAATGACATTATTTTACCTACATACAAGTTTTAGTTTTGTACTTTCATACATATTTTGTGAACATGACTGTAGATTTCGAAAAGCTCATTCTGCAATCGATCGAACAGGTCATTTCCAGGGGTCTTCGCTTCCAGCACTTTTGACTTTCAATCGACCTTTGCTATATTCCTTTAAAATACTCATATATTTCTAAATAGAATTACAAAATAAGAAAGCACAAATCTTTCAATAAAAACCTATTATAAATAACCATTATTATTCATTTAACAATACCAATAATAAAATAAATTAAACTTCACGACTCACGTAGGCACTTATTGCAAATTAGTTTTTATAATTACAGGATTGAATTTTTTTACATTATCGTTTTAAGGCGGTTTATGTAGTCTTTTACGTTAATTTATTTGTTTCTTATTATAACTCTAATACCGGGGACAAAAATATAGTTCCCTACTAAATAAAAAGTCGTGTTTTTTATGCTCTAAATGCGTGACCTTGATGAAGAGCAATAATTACATGAATTAACATCTACTATCCAGTGAAAGAGCGTACAATAAACTGTTTAAATAAATAAATGTACATGGTACTTGTACATAAATAACAAAAAGAACAATGAAGAGTTTAGTAAGGTAGATTATTAAACGATACGTAATGTAAAGATATAAATATTTTTATCAATTTCTTCATAATGTTCACAGGTGCATATACTTACTACATATATATCTAATGCATAGAAAATTTTAAAAATATAACTATGTATATTTATATCATGTGTTTACTGTAAAATCATCTGTTTACATTTATTAGTAAAAACACTACTGCAGCTTTGTTTTTGTGCTCTATTTATCGCACTATTGTATAAGAACTGTAAAAATAAAATTTCTCAACCAGAATTAAAAACAAGTGATAATAAGTGGAGGCAAATAAAATTTTTCGCATTTAGGTACGATAAATACATGAAATATAAACATATGGATCATACAATAATATTATTGTTTCTTTGGGTTTAAGTAATTTCCGTAATACGAGAAAATAGAACAAAAAGGAAATGACTTTACTTATGTGCACTAAAAAAGGAATAAAAAAGATCTTTCTCTATCTTTAAGTCCTGCTCCTCTGCTCCTGGGGGCCACCAAATTTCAAGAAGTCCTTTGTAACGAAATGCCTAACAAGGCCAGAATACGTCCAGTAAGTATAATATCATACATAATAAGATTAGAAGCAATTTGGACCGGTTTTGACTATGAAATTGTGGTGCAGATACTTCGTATCTCTTGTCACCTATCAACTGCTAAGCAGAGCAGGAAGTATTACCAACATAGTCCCCCTTTTTAGTCAGGTTTTAATTAGTCTCAGACAGCTACATAATCGCAGTATACGTTGTACACAGTGGTGTTGTCGAGCCGGAACTCTCCGGAACGTCGTTCCGGTACTTCCTTTTTGGACAGGAACGCGTTCAGGAACTAAAAATGATTTCTGATAACCAGAATTGGCTGACGTATTGAAAAAGAAATTAAAAAGAATTGCTGATTTTTTTTTCTAATTTTTGACGAATTTTTATATGTATTATTATAAACAAGGGTTTGAACCGAACCCGAACCGGAACAAAAATCGGAACGAATCGGCTTGTTTTTCCTAACCGTGAACAGGGCCGATCCTGGCGACGGGCGAAAATTGGGGGAAACCCCCCCCCCTCCGTCGTCGTCAAATTTGGGACATGAGACCGCACAGAGCGGCCGCCTACCCAGGATCGGCCCTGTCTATATAATTATATATACGCGTTCCGGTAAAAAAAAATTNCAATACCTGAAAGACCAGTATTTTTACCACCATTATTTGAAAAGCCTATAAATGTCAAACCTATACGATTAAACCTCAAGGCAGTTCGTCTTGACGAATTAGCAAAATTAACTCTTCAGACTACCGATCCAATTGTGTATTTACCAGATGAAAGTTTTTGGACAAACGGTTCAAATATATGTTTAATTGTGTTATTTATAATCATTGTAATTATATGTACTTTTGTATTTTGTTATAATAGAAATAAGATTAAATGTTTTAATAAATTTAAGAGACCAGAGGTCAGGGAAAAAGATAGTTCACAAGCGTTTCCTTTACCTCAAAGAACAATGTAAATTCGTTGCCGAAATTTTTTGGGCTTCACCCCTAAAATTTCATTTTATGGGCGGAGGAGTTATGATATCTAAAATACTTTATAACAATTATAAGACGCAACGTCAGCATGCAACGCATGTAAGAATGGTAATCTCTTCAGGGAATTGCATTGTTCTGATATTAATTAGCTTACTAAGATATTGAATAAGAAATGTAATGTTAATAATTGTGATTAATTAAAATCAGTTGTTGTTCCACTGTTAACCTGTTAACATCTTGATTGAATTATAATTAACGCACATAGTGTATTATTGTTTTCTTTCAACGGGGCAGCAGCTCATGTTTTTCTTAGCCAGTCGAATTTCAATCTTAAAAATAAAAAGCGTTTTTAAAAAGTAAATTCGGCGGCAGAAAACATTAACTGCTATTTATGTTTATGATGGTATTTCCAAATTGAACGTGTTCTAACAATAGAGAAATGTTTCTAAAGAATCTTATAACTTAAGTAAACCTACTAATAAATGTAATAACTGTATTAACCATAATTTGTGTTTACTTTTAGACTACGACTATTTTAACAATATGGACAAGACAGTCGTCAGATCTAAGACTGGTTGGACACGCACCTCCACTCATTCCTATCCTGAGCTAATCTTCGCATTTCCCTAAAACTAGAACTATTTATGAACAGTAATCTAAGCCAAGTCTACCTTTACCCCTCCTAACTCCTGTTTCTGCCTCTAATATGTCTCTGACTAGACCTTCATGCCTGAAAAGGTATCCTACCAATCTAACTCGCCTATTTTTTATTGACTTCCACTAGGTGAAAGTTTCACTCAACATTATTTTATAGTAAATGAAAAAAGGGGTTAGCTTACGTTAAGAAAAGACAACACCAACGAAGTGCGTACTTATACTGTCCTATATCGTGTTCTGAGATTGTAAGGGTTATTAAGAATGGCCTTAACAAAAATAATACACATACGTATGTAGAAGCGATGTCTTCTAAACAAAAATTAAAAAGTGTGACTGTACCTATAAAGCAGAACTAAGACATAATTGGTTCAAATAATGGAAGCTTGACTGTATAATATTCGCAATGCATAGTAATTCTTTTGCACAATTGCGTACATATAATTTTACTTGTTATTATTTTCTGAAAACATTGAACATGCAGATATCGTAGTGTTGTACTCTAATTGTAAACAAATTGAATACCAGATTATAATTGATCAATAATTTGTCGTAAATTCCAAATCATTGTCCTCACTGACAAATTTATTAAAGTTCAGACGTGAATCCCGTTACAGTCATTTCAAAATTATTGACCTCGCTCAACTGGTCCAAATAATGAGTGCAGCTCACATAGCAGTATGTTTAATTTTTATTTTCACCTACACAAAATACGTAATACTTTTAGATAATGTATACTTTTATATATATGTAGATGTAATAACAATCAGGTGATACAGAACGCAATAGCTGTAAAGAAAAAAGAAAAAACCAATCGGTTAGGGTGAAGTTTTCTCATCGTTCTCTCATAATAGGCACAAAAAAGAGGACGAATTTTCGTTGAAGCCTGGGAAACACCGGTGAAATGACACCAAATACAAGCACATACACACACATCTGCATCACTGATTTCATAATACAGGAGCGGATAAGCATTTTATTTTTAAATATCTACCTAAGAGTAATGATTAATGGTAAAAGTACACGGGAGAGTGAGATACAAGAGAAGATCAACAGCAAACTCATCACAAGAAAAGTTTCAACAACGAAAATGAGATATCCACCGATATACTGAAGTGAGTGTTGGATGTTAAATAAGGAATTGCAAAGGAAACTTCAAGTATCAAAAAGGAAAAGGACAGACTAGGAAATCAATTAATTAGAGAAGAGTTAAATGTAACGCCTGTTATGGAAAAAAGAAGAGAAACGGGTATTGATAGTTTAGGCATCTGAACCATACGGATATTAACAGATGTTAAGTACCTAAAACTGGATAACAGACTTACAAAGAGAAAAAGGAAATGGACTTGGGAAACAACGAGTTTAAAACTGGGGACGCTAAAAGAAAATGTTAAAAGGTTTTTAATTCTTAATAATTTAATTAATAAATTACATTATAATGGTAAAATTCGTCTTCATCTTATTGATCTATCAAGTGCCAAAATAAAGTAATTTTGGCCATAAGTATCTACTATATAAATCCATATGGCAAGTTTGTATCCCATCAAAATTCTGTGTCATTTCATGTTTTTAAGAAAGAATTTTTTTTTTCGAAAAGTTGTCATGCAGCTCTAATAATTTTGTCATAACTGTTCATTGAGTGAAACACCTATTTGTAAATTTTTTTCTGCGTAGGTTTGTTTAAAACTCACCATTTTTTGTTTACTAAACTACTTTATAAATAAATTGTATAAAACATATATTACGAAAGTATTAACCAGTTTAAGAATTCCCTAAATAAGATAACAGGATATTTCAGAGAAGGTGCACAATATTTTAAGTGAGATTAAAAATTAATCAAGATATTTAAGATAATATAAAATATACCTAATAGAAAATCATTTGAACTCCAGTTAAACTGTTAAACGTTAAACTTCCTCACAATAAATGGTATCTAATGTACGTATTATATTCGTACGGGAGAAGTCAGGACATCTTTCAGAACCTCTTTTATCATATCATTTACGTAAAGTGTTTTTATAGTATCTTATATCTCTCAACCACAAAAAGAAATTCTTCCTAATTCTTCAATATGAGTTAAAGCCTTGCAATTTTGTCATAACTGTTCATTTTTAACTTTTGAAGTCATATTTTTTAAAGATAAAACTTTAAAATGACGTAGAATATGTTTATCTTTTGTTTTCTCAATTACAAACACAAAATATTTCAGAAAATATCAGGGTAGTCAGCTTTTTCTTCCATTTAAACTCTAAGATGTCTCGAGTTCCATGATAATACTTAGGCAGAAAAGGTAAAGAATGTATCAGACCGCTCATTTCCTACCCTGGTGCACGATGCCCATACTATTTTTCGTCACTCCTCGACCAAGAAACGAAATATCCCTGGATAAATAATTACAAAAGCTATCGATTTGAACAAAGTAATAAACATTTTTGCAGCATTAAATAAAAATATTGTACAATTTTGCATTAAGGAAAGCGTTTGGAATAGTTAAAGTTGATTGCTTGCGGTTTTAAATTTTACTTTATATTGGGTTAAATTAATATTCGGGGTAACCCAAAACTTTTAATGCATGGGCCTTGGCACACCTGCAGTAGCTATGTTCCTAATTCTAATTTGCTAAAAACTTTCAACAAAAACTATTTCGGTCGATAACATTTAAAGATATAATGACTTACATAAGTAACTCCAGTATGAAAGTCAGTTAATGAGTGTGTGTCTTAAACATCAATAGTACTATTGGTTATAGAAGCGCGAATATTAAGATATATTTTCTTGAAGAAAACTAAACTTTTATGACAACGCACAATTTTCGATTGTAAATAACTGACTTTGCAGTAGAAATAGCAGAATTTATTAGTAATTTGTAATAATCTCAATTTTGACGTTTTCTTAAAAATTTTGCGTTTCTTAATTATTATAGTTTAATTTGCAATATTAATTAAATTAGCTAGTAAATTTATTACTGCTGGGATTTTATTTTTACAAATTCGGGTCCAAATTAAATAATATCGCTTTAATATTTAGGTAAATTTTCCTTTTTCATTTTCTTCGTGTAGTAACGTGTTCAGTGGATCAGTCGCAAGGATTTTTGTCCACTCCTGGATGGATTTAATTGTAAGCCTACTTACAATAATGATACGTATAGATTATAATGATGAATCTGATGGTGTTGGTCATCTAACGTGAGCATTGACCATCCGATGAACTGCAATTTTAATGCTTTCCCGGAAACAGAAACAAAAGAACTTCCGGAAAGCGATTCGGCCACCAAGGCCTTTTTTCCATGCCAATGTTTAAACAACAGTAACGCAACAGTAAGTGTTAGGGTGTGAGGTATTGTACATTACTTTTGGAGGTGCCAAGTTTTTCCCTTCATTTCTCGTTGCTTTTACAGTTTATCGTCGCTTAAGGTTTTTCACTTCTAGTTAAAAATCCCAAAGAGGAATACGTAAGTTTTGCATTTTCTTTTTTATTTTTAATTGAAATTTAAGGTACCCAGATTCACGTTTAAGTTTCAGTTTTAACTCAACATCATTTTTCGAATGATAATTACTGAATTGAAATAAAGCTTAAATTATATTATTTTCAAACAATAAAGCTTTTTTTTATCAAAAATAATAATTTTATTATCTTATAATTATGAGATTAAAATCAATTTTATTGATCGAATAAAATTAGAAATTTACCTTTCATTTCTAATCATTCAATTACGAAATACCTACAGCATTTACGATATAGAATTTTTTATTTAAACAGCTCTTAGCTAATAGGCGTTTTTTCAGTTGAAAACAAGTACTTAACGTTTAAACGAATTTCTTTCGGCGTAGCTGCTTGATAGGTTTCGAAATTTTTGATAAGTGCAATAAACAATTCCATGATTATAATCTTCAAATAGGTACATAACGATTTATTTGTATTTTTTTCTCTCTCATTATACTTTTTCGACAGAAATCAAAACAACAAATCCCTTACTCATATTGCGTTACATATTAGGGGCGCACGAAGAACGTATGTTGCAAAAATCGCATTTTAAAGGGTTGAAAAAGAAATACAAAAATTTATACAAATTTTAAATTTACTCGATTGACGTATTATATAAAAGACATCGAAATTCTAAGAATGACAAAAATTCTTCTATTTTTCATCAGAATCACGATTTTAAGCTATTTTAAATGTTCACACGGACTAAGCAACGACAGGCAATCATAGTGGTTACCTTCAGTTGAGTATATTTGATAGCTTTAAATGTAGTCGAGGGTGATGTGCCATTTAGAATTTTTTTTATATATTTATTAATTGTAAAGAGTACTTAACATGAACAATAACTATCCAAATATGGTAATCAATAAAAAATGAAGTCAACGGCAAATCATTGGTACAAAAAATTACTCAGTGGATATCGAAGACACTCGGAGACCAAAGCTCAGGTTTATCAATACCCAAACTTTCCGGAGAATCAATCCCCAATTCGCACAAGGTAGGGCCGACTTCTTGCAAAATGTACGGCCAAATTTCTTTTTCATGATGACCGCACTTATACTTGCAAGCCTCAAGAAAACGCACCGCTACGGCGTATTCGTTTATTCTTCGGCAGGCGTACATGGCAGCAATGATAATGCGAGGTTCGGGGACCATGTCCATTCCTATCAGATCACTCATTGCTTGACGAATGTCCCAACCGTCGATATCGGGACGACAGAAGAAACATTCGTACCTATATTTTCGATAGGAATTAGGGAAAGTTTAAAAAAAATAAAACCGAATTAATGAAAGTATAATATCTACGATGCAAATATGCCAAAGATGTTGTCCTTTAATCCTGAACTTTTTAATCCTGACTGACTCCACACATAATGACTAAATCGTAACTGTATTTGGGTCTATACACTGACAATATTAACATTGCTTCATTTTTTTGGCCCATTTAGAGTATTATTTGTTCGATTTATTATAATGTCGAATTTTGACTACCCAGTGCTCCACATTGATTATTTGTTTAATATTTTAAGGGTGAAAAAATAGTGCTGTTAGTAGGAGTAGGTATAAGGAACGAAATATCCTTATAACATAATCGAAACGATTAAAAAAACTGGACAGAGAGACAAACGAGTGATCCTATAATGGTTCCGTTTTTGTTCGAACGTGCGGAACCCTAATAATAGAAAAAAAATATGACAACCAAGTAGTATAAAATTACAACTGTTGTATTTTAACAAATTCGTTTCCTTTTATAGCGTTAGCGCAAGAACGAATCAGTTTAGATTTTCTTTCAACGAACTTCAGTATATTTCCTCATTAAGGATTACTAAATATTTGGTTAATCGTAAATGATAAGAATAAAACATGTCCTCCCAATTTCTTAACTGACTTAAAACAAAATGAATATTAAACCTTTCAATAACAACAACGAAAAGCTAAAACTACTAACAGAAAAGGATGCAGGAATTATTCTGGTAAACCAAAATTGTTGTAATTATTAGTCCTACCTGGTATCGAGTTCTTCTGGAGTTTCGTCATGTAATGCTGTGTGGTACACAGTCCGTTTTGAACCAACGGAAGCTCCAGCTAATTTGACCACATTTCTCAATGATTTCGAAAGTGCATTTCTAATCAACGAACTCATCTGTGGACAATAAATTAATTTTACTCCAATAATTTCCAAAACTTACTCATTGAATAATAAAACAATGTACCATACACGACAATTATGCACATGCAAATGTAGCAACTACAAAATCTGAAAATTGTTGCATGGGTCTTGATGTCATGTAAACATGTAGAGTAACATCAAAAGAATATATAGGCGAAGAGATATATCATTTTCCGTGAAAACAATATTTTTTTTTAATTTCTTAAGATATACTCTCTTTTTTGCTTGACTTTTGTGGTCGATTTTCACTGACGTGATGTAAAGAACAATTTGAGAGAAATTGAGGAATCAAAATCAGAATTAGCGCTAGATTGCGTGTCAAAATGAGCATGCAGGCTGCAGTTCCCATAGGATAAAACTGTCTGCACGAAGAACCCTAATCCATACCAAAAGAAGGTAACATTCAAAATTATAAGTGAAGTGTAATTTTGAAAAGTCAACGCATCCACCAAACCCATACATACAATTCATAATAAATGTATAAATATGTTAATTCTTTAACTTTGATTCATATTTCTCTATATAAATAAAGTGGTAGCTAGACCCGCCCCGTACGACAGATAAATATAATCTTGTATTATATTACCATTTTTCTCCTGCTTTTGTATTTGGTGTGAAATCAAAAGTTTCGTCCAAGTTGTTGGGTTCTCTTAACGTTAGTTATTTAAGTTAAATTCGGGCTCGCTAATTTGTAATGGTTAATCATTGAACATGCACGGTTACGTTCGCTACTGTTCTTGAATAAAGAAATAACTTTTAACCCCACCCGCATACCCTACCCTTTTTTGCCTTTGATTTCACGTCGAATAATTTTCTATTTTCTATAAGTAGATTATTTATCCTGTTTTACAATAAAATAAACATATTAAATAAAAAAATAAACATATTTCATTTTTACTAGAAATTCAATTTTAAAACGCATACTAAGAATATCAAGTTTGTTTGCCTCGTAAAACTGCGAAACAAATTCCCGTTTTTCGTAATGTTTTTTTTTCAATAAATCAGACAAAGGGAGAAGGCTATCCGGAAGTGCGACTTCTAGACCGGCACGAATTCACTAAATTATTTGAACCTATGTTGAAATACATTAATATATGTGTACGAACTGATAAAAAACACCTAACATGCAACTTAAAATCATTTAGGAAGTATTCCAATGGACCTATATTTTTTTAGGAATATATAAGTAGAAAGTCTATGGGTGGCTGTATAAACTTTTTGCATTTATTACGTTTAGAATCGATTAAATCACTGACAGGGCCGTAACCAGACTGTGTAATTAGAACAGGCTCAAAATTATGCAATGCAGATTGAAAGTCAAATTTTTTCGAATTCGTTTCTGTATATTTCACAATATTTTGTTAAAGTTATTTGTAGTAGTACCTAGCTGTTACATAAAAGTAAGCACATGGAAGTAGTAACTATTTATTTACTCAAATAAAGCTACATACTTCATAAAAACAATGTTAATTTTTGATCTTTCATGCAAGAACAAAATCCAAAATACTTGATGACATTCGCAGTAATATTTTATTTAAAAAGAATTGATTCAATTTAGTTAAAGTTTAGGTTGAAAATTGAATAAATGTTATGATTTCTTTGTTTAATTTTGCTAAAAATTAAATACAGTTTATTTTTTTTAAAGAAATATTAGCACATATCAAATATTGCTTTTAAACCATTTATAAGATTAATGTTCTCATTGAACACACCTAGAGATGAGAAAAATTGGATTTGGTCTTGCAGTCATGATCTTGGTCTTGTGAAAACTCAAAACCAAAACCAACACGAACTAACAAGACCAAGACTAAAACCAAGACCGAACGAACCCGACCAAGATTAAAACCAAGACTGAATAAGCTAGATGAAGACCAATACCAAAACCAGGACAGTATTGGTCTTGTTTTGCTTATCACTAGTCATATCCAACAAGAATTTAATTTCTGTTAGAATTTCCCTTAAAAAACTTCCATTTTTTCTAGGTGAACAAAATTATGTTCAAACCGTAAGCGCAAGCTCCACCTGCACCATAACCGCTATCTCTTCAAAATGAAACACTATCCTTTTATACCAAATATGGTTCAGGCAATTACGGTTCTTACTGTTCTGAAGATGATGACAAGAGGTAAGTAAAAAACATAATATGGCGAAAGTAAACAAATTATTGTCACATTTTCAACCCCTTAAGACTCCCGGAAGTGCTAAAATCTCGTAAGAACGAGCAGGCACTCTCTATAAAGAAGTATAACTTTTTTCAACAGTAAAGTGTTCAATTCTAATATTTTTTAGTGGACAAAGAAATTGATACGACTGCTTTGGTTTAACTATTATCGTTGAAACGTCAAGTTTTGCAAAAAATCACTTGTTTTAGCTCAAACATCGTGCGGTTCTGGTTCGTTGAATGGAAAAATAATGTACGAGCGATTGCCGAATACGCAATTGCAAGGTTTCGATGATGACATCGTTCGGGACACGGCACCACCTTTTATGGTTTTAGAAAAATGTCAGGATCTTTGCCTGAGGGACAGAGCATCGAACAATATCGTACGTCAGTGTGCATCTTTCGATTTTCAACCCGGAAGCAGAATAAGTTCGTACAACGGAGGTCCTGAGTACGAAGAATCGACTTGTTATTTGACCCGAGAACAAGCGGCTCCCGAAGGAATTGGAAACTTGATGCTAGTACCCAACAGTATCCATTTTACAGAAGTTTGTATCACATGTAAGAGAATTCCTTATTTTATCAAAAAATAAAACTCTTACTCTTGTATATGTATTCCTAATGCTGTCCCGTCTTTAATAATAATATATTAATCGCTTTTCCTAGATCTTGGAATTCTATAGATTACTCATTCTCTTCTCTATCTTCAAAATGACCTCACGCATTCCCTTATATTTGTTAACCCGAATTGGCCTTCTTAAATGTTACACCAAGGGTAAATCCCATAGCACTATTGTGGTTATTTTTTAACAAGCGACAAAAATCGGTTTTGCTAATTCTTGTCAAATCATAAATTTTAACATTTCTACATGCGAGAATGATCGAGATAATTGCACATGTGTACGAATTCAGGCATCGAAACAAAACACGTTAATCATCAATTTAGAAAAATTCATTAACTAATTCCAATAAGATACCGCCCCTAATTTCCGTTCCAAATTTAACTTATCAGATGTAGCCCCTATTCATCGTAACCACAATCCTGTAACATCCTTGGAATATTTATTAATGATTTTAGCCAGGTCAACTCGAAAGCTCCAAAAATCGACCCTGAATTTTAATTAGGTGTTTAAGTATTTTGTTTTATTTCAGCCAACAGACCGGAACGAGAATGTCCCAACAGAAGATACATATTCGAGCGTCACCCTCGGAAAAAGTTAAAATTGTCGGGTTCCGACATGAAGGAAATGTCGGCGTCAAACAGAAGTGAATGTGAAGATCTCTGCCTAAACGAATTCAGTTTCGTTTGTAGATCCGCATCTTTTGATGCTTCTTCTCGAACATGCTCATTAAGTAGATACACCAGAAGAACTCATCCGGAATTGTTAGAAGATGACCCTAGTTCGGATTATCTAGAAAACACCTGTCTAAACGGTACAAAGTTCAATCAAACGATTACTACTTAAGTTTCTTATATTAAATTGTTATTGTTTTAGCCGAAAGGCGTTGCGATGGATTGGGGGTCTTTATTAAAGAAGAAAACAAAAGGTTGGGGGGACCATTTGAAGTGGATCTTTTGACGAATGTAACTCTTGAAGACTGTCAGATAATGTGCGTGAGAGCGGAAAAATACTTCTGCCGTTCTATCGAATACGACGAAATGACTAAGCAATGTTCTATTGCAGAAGAAGACTCTGTATCTCAAAAAGACGATTTGGGAATTGCCAGCAGTTCGACACATCATTATTATGATTTTGCCTGTCTCGATAGTCGTGAGTTTCAATGTTCTATTTATTATACTAATTATACAACTCCATATAATGTTGAAACTATAAAAACCCTTATATCCTAAATATTTTTGAATTTGAACCCAAATTCGGCAATTCAAAATGGTGAATCCAAATTTTTAGAATATTGCAAAATCCAGAGATGTTAATGTTAAGTCGAATTTAAATTCAGGACAAAAAATTTTAAGGGAACAAGTTTTTATAGTGTCAGAAAATATCTAACAATTCGATATTTTCTTTTTCATTTTACCAGCTCGTGGATCGGAATATCCAGATAATTCGGTCACATCGCACCTGTTTGCTGGTAAACGACCGGATACAGCATTTCAGAGGTACAGAAACAGTAGGCTGGGAGGAGAACATCATTCTGAGATTTCCGGTAGAACTCTCAGCGAATGCCTTGACGAATGTCTGAGACAACCAAGTTTCCAATGTCGATCAGCAGTTTACAGTGAACGATATAGGACTTGTAGACTTAGCCGATACAATCAGAAAGACGGAATGCGAATTATATACGACGCAGATTACGATTATTACGAAAATTTAATGCGTAAGTACCAAAGCACCTCAATGGTCATAATATAAACATACATTCCTGTGTCTTTTATATAGTTGGAGGGGACGACGACGGAATGGTAAAAAAGCCTGTAGACAGAGACAGACCTGATGATGGTTATCCAAGTGGACCACGGATACGCCCAGGAGGTGGTAGATATCCTCCTAGTAGTAGTGGCGGAGGACGATACCCTCCAAGTTCATCAGGAGGTCGTTATCCATACGACGATTATCCGGGCAGATATCCACCAAGCTCCTCTGGAGGACGATACCCACCTCCCGGTAGATATCCTTTCTATGGAGGTAGACATCCTCCAAATGTAAGATATCCCTATGACCGCTATCCCTACGACAGACGACCTCCATATCGTCCTGTAGACGGAGTTGGCGGTCCTTACGGAAGATATCCACCAACTGGACGTTACCCTTATTATCCGAACAGGCATTACCCTCCTCCAAGCGGGGGAGGTGCTGATAGATATGACGACAGATACCCTGATTATGACTACCCTTCAGGAGATGCCCCAACGGCTAGAAGGCCATTTAGACCGTTCGATCATAGACGACCTTCTCCGACTTTTCCTCCTCCAGAACCACCATACGAAGACAAGCCATACGGGAATCGTAGACCCTACGATGACGACAACAATAGGCCCTACTACGACAGAAGACCATACAATAATCGTTATCCTTACGACGACAGAAGACCTTATGACACCAGGCGTCCTTATGACGGCCGAAGACCATTCGCTGATAGGCCCAGTTATCGACCGCTATCTCCGGGACCGGATGGACCTATATATGATGTACCGGAAGGAGGAACCCCAATACGACCTCCAGGATATGGATGCGATGACGAAGCATTTAGGCAAGCCGCAGCCAAGCAAAGGCTCAGAAAACAATTCATCAGAAGATTGATTGCAGTACCTACTCTTATTGAGTGTCAACGAGAATGTGTTGAAAATCCAGAATTTACTTGTAGATCGTTTAATTACAGGTAATTGAAAATCTGTTGTCCGTGTAAGTCTGTAATGTTAAAATTGACCGATTGTTGTATAAATTTAGGGAAGCAGTATTGCCTTACGAAGGGGAAAATTGCGAACTGAGCGACATAGATTCGAAGGATATGGAACTAAATAACCCTCAATTTTTTGATCCTGCTCGTGACTATCATTACTACGAACGATCATTAGGAAGACAAGGAGTAGATGGCGATTGTTTGGATGGTAAATGTTATTATTGAATGTGAAGAACAATTGTCTATTGTTTAATTAATTGTTTTATTTTCAAAAAACATTACTCCTTTGTCTTTCCATACAATATAATTTAAATAAGACACTGTTCTAAATCCTTTCCGAGGTAGTTCCTGTTCTTTTTTCTTAAATTCTTTTATAATTAAAAAATTACAATAGCTGCATAATTATTCTTCTCTCACCTACCGTTTTAATCACCACTATCATTTAATCTCACCAACAAGTTAAACAAGTCTGCAACGAAGAAGGCATGGAGTTCTCCTTAATAACACCCGATGGATTTTATGGTCGGATTTACACCTACGGTTTTTACGACCGTTGTAATTTAAGAGGAACCGGTGGAGTAAAACATGTACTTCGGATAAGTGGCCCCCAAGGATACCCAGAATGCGGAACCCAACGATTCGGAGATACCATGACTAACATCGTCGTGGTACAATTCACGGACAACGTACAAACCAACATGGACAAAAGATACAACTTAACCTGTCTCTTCCGAGGACCTGGAGAGGCTAAGGTCTACTCTGATTACATAGGAGCGGGGTAAAAGCAATACTGAAAGAAATCGCGTTAAAATCTATATGCTTACACGTGTGTTTGCATTCTAGGTCAGGAAGTCCCATTCCAATTGAATATTTGCCAGCCGAAAATACACTTAGTTCAAAGGTTAGACTGCTGATATTGTATCAGGGCAGACCCACTACCACCATAGCTGTTGGTGATCCTTTGACCTTCAGATTAGAAGCTCAAGACGGCTATAACTATGTAACAGACATTTTTGCCACCAATGTTGTCGCAAGAGATCCGTATTCCGGAAGATCCGTACAACTCATCGATAGACGAGGGTAAGTATTCCGACCTAAAATCCATTTAGTTTGAAAAATCTCTAACAACAGTTTTTGACAGTTGCCCTGTGGATCCCTACGTATTCCCTGAATTGGATCGAGGCCGTAGTGGAGATACTTTGGAGGCAAGATTCCATGCCTTCAAAATTCCCGAATCTAACTTCCTTGTTTTCGAAGCCACAGTTCACACCTGCGTAGACGGATGCAAACCGGCTTTCTGTGAAACAGGCAGAGGAAGAGAAGAACCGTCTTTTGGTAAACGTAGAAAGAGATCTATCAACGAAACTAACGTCCTAAGAATTGATGATAACACTACCGCTATAACGCATCTTTCCGACCCTACCCAACTGAATGCAACATCCAAGAATGACGCAGTCAACAATAACAACGATAGTGACGAAGAGTACGTGAGAGAAATGATAGAGGTTTGGTTTACATATTTTCATAAATTATGAGTTTTTTATGCTTCAACCCTTTCTTTATAGGTCTTCGATTCACGTAATGACATAAACCACGATGTAGCATTAAAAGCTTTGGCCCTACGAGAGGCGGTTTGCTTGACCATGGGAGAGTACAAGAGCCTCGTTGGTGCGGTTCTCTTTTTGACCCTAACCCTCATAATAGTTTCCATAGTGGCTGGATACGTTTACAGAAAGTATTGGAAGGTAATAAAGAAGAATATTTCGATTGCTGACAGAGAAAGTGAAAGAACGGTTGGTGGTGGTAGTTCTGCATCAACTCATTCCAACTGTACCATGTACTCATCCACTAGAAACAGTGGATTTAATGGGCTCACATCTGCGTTCAGCATTGGTAAGTCATTTGGAGGTTTTAGGAAGGCGAGGGGTTTCCCGGAAATCAATAATATCGATTTGGACATTCCTAATGCCGGACAGGGAGGTCTATTCGAAGATCCTAGTGAGCCTATTTACACCGATCCATCGCTTTTCGAGCGATCTCGTAGCCTAAGAAGTATAGCTATATCTACCAATAAACGAAAAAATCGCACTAATAACAATTAAACCATAAATTGCCCCATATATTTGGAATAAAATAGAATTAGCAAAACGACAAACCATTAAAGCAGTTCGCAAATAGCATACAGAGTACTCACTATCACCAAAAGTAAATCTACTCGAATTACTTTCAAAGCAACACAGTATGATTAATTAGTAATTTGTAAGCCTGAGAAATAGAATTCTATTCAATCAAAAAACAATGGTACTTGTTCTTTTTATGTGATATTTTGTTGTTTTGATAGCTATAAGTAGGTCAACCATCCGTTAAAGTCTTACAGAAAGAATCCTGTACACCCTATATAATATATAAATTCATTAATATGTTCTATAAATGATCAAAGACCAATCACAATACTGTCCAAAGTACTTTTAAAAACCAAAAAAATACGCCAAATGTTATGCCGTTGAATTATAAAATGATAACACTCTTATTGCACAATCAGAAAATTATTGATTATTCAATTCCTGTAAGCTTTTCTGAAATTGATTCTTCTCTAGCTGGATTTCGAGATTTATTTCCTATTCTTTTCTTCTCGATTACAGATACGTTCTTATTTCGACAATAATCCGTACGGGCTTATTCCCAGCCTCGTCCTTATTCGAGCCTTTAAATATAATATGTATCTATGTTTCATTGCGCTTTCAGTTAGACCATTTATTGCTTCACACATTCAGTTTTCTTGAGTTCTACCTTCAATTATCAAACCAGATGAGTTGCAATGTTGCTTTTGTTCTCATCTACTAATCTGATATCAATCGGACTTATAATGATTTCATTTAAAATAAACATAATTTAGTATATATTAATTTTTAAAGAAATTCACATTTGATCTACAAAATAAAAACAAAATTCTAACTATTAACCGCCCCTTATTAGTTACACTTCATTAACAACTTACTGAACACTGCCTTAACTGCCTTAAACGTAATTCAGGTATCTATTTATTTGCTCAAAAAATCATTTAATAACTTTAACAAAACATTTATATATCTAGTTTATGGAACTAACTGCTAAACATACGTGTGCTTTCTAAATGGTCATATTAGGTTCTTTAAACAATTCGTTTAGTATTAAATCTTAAGCTTGATATGTTAATTGAAAAATCGATTAATTCCAAAGGAATTAATAAATAATTTGCTTAAATTTATTTTTTTTGTAATATATATACTATAGCTATTTTGTACTTAAAATCATTGAAAATGTTCGTAAATTTAGACTTAAGATATTGATTCTAATAAATTGTACCATCTTAGTGCTTGGCTTAATCCTTTACTATAAATGTCCTTAACGATTAGTGAAAAGTGTAATATGAAGATACAAGTCTTGCATTCACGTTAGGATTTGATTCTGCAGGACCAAGAGCATTGGAAGGTCAATGCTTGTATATATTTATAAATACATATACTTGCAATCAAGGGTGATAGGTCAATTTATTTAGAAAGGTGTCACTTAAGTCAAACATCGTTATTATGCAGTTACATCAAAAATAAGTTATTTAGTGGTATATATTCATTACCATGTACTGATATTTACTGCCTACTGTAGTATCTCAATAAAATAATAACAATAAAATATATTTATTTACCATGGTAAGGTATACTATCACCTCAATCAATGACTTTGTTTTTGTAAGTTGAATTATTACAGTGCACAGATCAATAAATTTTTCAATTACCTTTGTAACAATCTTTTGAAGACTCTGTATATCGAATTACTATGAGGTTGCTGGCTAAATAAAGCTTTTTTACACAATTGCTGAGACTATACACCAACAAGAAGAAGTAAGCGTTTCTAACCTTAGTTTTAGGTGTAAATATTATTGAATTGTGAATTTTTTGATAAACAGTGTGAAAAAGTGTGCATTATTGCATTGTGAAAATTGTAATTTAGTGTTTTAAAATGTTAACAGATACTAGTTCCAGAAATAAGGTTTGTTTTTAAGACTGTTAGGTGACTACGTAGCAGAGTCCTACTTTTAGGGCTCCATTTCTTTCATTTAAGAAAATGGAAAAGCAAAAGGTGTAAGTAGCTTACCTTACTTGATGTTACTGATAAAAGTTTTCGTAAACTGATGTGGTTCTTAATGAATCTCTTTTTACTGTCAACACTATTGTACTATTGTTTTTGAATGTTTTGGCCTACTAATTTCAGCAAACCCTAATTTCGTACTATTACTTCACGATTGCATTACATGAAAAGCAGATTTAAATAATAAACTTATTTTTCTTAAAAGAAAGTTACCATAACTTAATAATGACGACATATAAAAGAATATGCCAGTGATGTAATTAAGTATTGTTTTTAGACTAATATGTGGTGATGTTGAGGGATGTTTTGATGCACTTTTTTCACGAGTAGAAAAGTTAAACGAAAAATCAGGCCCTTTTGATTTATTATTATGTGTAGGCAATTTTTTTGGAATTAATAATAAAGAATTTGAAGCATACAAACAGGGTTTTAAAAAAGGTAAGAAGTTTTCATGATTCTACAGGACTGTTATAAACTTAATTATTTTTAAGTTCTTGTTCCAACATACATATTGGGCCCTAACAAGCAAGAACATGTTCAATATTATCCAACAGATGATTCTGAATTATGTCCAAATGTAAATTACTTAGGTACAATTATTCTTTCTGAAATATTTTTGGAAAAAAAATCATAATAAATATATTTTAGGAAAAAAAGGAATGTATTTAAATAGTAAAGGTTTAAAAATTGCCTATTTAAGTGGGATTGCAAGCGATAATAACCAGTCTGAACTACACACCTACAATGTTGATGATGTTAAAGGTTTAGTAGATGTTTGTAAACGAGGAAATCCAAATTATAAAGGAATTGATATTTTATTAACGTCACAATGGCCTAAAAATGTGATGAAGAATGACCCGAACTGTAAGGTACCCTCTTTTTACAACTCAGTTAAGGTTTTTAAACGTAGTATTTACACTAAATAATTTAAAAGGAAAACACTTGGTTTGTTTTAATAAAGTTTTATTGTATCTTAACAGTATTGAGACCTATATACAACAACAATAACGGTTAAATTAAATTAAAATTTCTTAAGGACCTAACGTTAGTTATAATTTTAGTGTTTTTTTCCTTATAAAGGCCGAAAGTCGGACCAATATTGTCAAGATCTAATGAAACAAACCAAGTACTTTCCTTTCTTATTTAGTATATTTTTTTTTATTTTATTTATTTAAAAAGTTCCACCAAGAAACAAACACAAATGAATATTTTAGTTGAATTTAACTTTTACTCAAACTACCGATTTAATATCGTGGTTATCAATTCAATTAAAACCACGATATCATATTTCTGGGTTAGAGGGTGAATTTTACGAAAGACCCCCTTATCGTGCTCCAATTTTATCTGATCACGACGTATCAACAGAAATTGTGACCAGATTTTTGGGTCTAGCTCGTGTGGGGAATAAGAACAAGCAAAGATGGTTATACGCATTAAGTTTAACCCCTATTGAGTACATGAAATACAAAGAATTAGCCCAAAAGACCACTGATGAAACCCCTTGTCCATACGATCTAGATGATCTTGAATTAAAATGTAAGACAAAATATTTAAATTATAAATTACATTTTTCGTCTTTTTAACATTTTTGTAGTGTTTAAATCAAAAAGAAAATCTGGTAACTCTGGACAGTATTTTTATGATGTTGATAGTTATAACGCAGAAGAAGAAGAAGGTAAAAAACACAGGCCACATAATAAAAGGCAAAGAGTTGAATTTGATCAAAGCAAATGCTGGTTTTGTTTGGCAAGTCCATCTGTTGAAAAGCATTTAATTATTACAGTTGGAGAGGATGTATATCTAGCCCTTGCAAAAGGTATTTTCTTAATTAATGTTCATGTAGAATAAGGAAACTACATTGAAGAAGTAAAATCAAAATTATTGAATTAAAATATATAAATGACTGCTTAAAAAGCAAATATTTTTAATTGTTAAACAAATAAATTAGTTTTCTATCGAAATTCTGAACAAGAAATGTTTTCGTTTATCAAAACTAATCCAAAAAACTTTCTTACTATTTATCGTTCGATTGTTGTCACCACATGTAGTTTACTTTCAATGATATTTTTATTGTTTTTACACACACTGTTTTATTTGTAATTATTTAAAAATACTCAAAACAAGAATACTACACGGCAAAATGTAAATCACGTGTACTCATACACTCCCGTCAAGCATTACTAAGGGACATAGACTAAGGAGCTACTAGGGAAGAGGGTACTAGGGGAAATTAAATTGAAAATTGATATCTGACACCAGATGGCTTTCAGTTGTCAATATCACTGATAGATGACGCCTGTATTCAGTTTAATTTGATTTTTCTTATTAATCCTAAGAAATAAACATTTATTTGTAATATCTTCATAGGCTGTACATAGTTACTATTTCCAAAAATGTATATATTTTAGGAGGTTTAGTTGAAGAACACTTACTCATATGTCCAATAGAGCACCATCAATCTGCCCTTCATTTACCCCACAATGTTTTATCAGAAATCGAAAAGTTTAAAAAAGCAATTATAGATTTCTACAGTACAAGCCAAAACGTTACGATATTTTTTGAACGAAATTATAAAACATCTCACATGCAGATTCAGGCTGTTCCAGTTCCAAAAAAACTTTCCAACGTTTTAGCCAACTCGTTTCTCGTAAGTTTTAAAATTCACTGAATCAAATAGATGGCATTTTTCTGTTAAGTACATTTTTTTCTAATGCATAGAACGAAGCCGAGGAAAATGGATTTGATTTGGAAAAATTGGATTCATGTAATCGTATAGATCAGGTGTTACAAAAGGGGGTTCCATACTTTGTTGTCGAACTCCCCGATAAAGGGGAAGTTTATTACGTTCAAATTCAAAAATCGCAAAATTTTCCCTTAAATTTCGGGAGACAGGTTCTTGCTTCTAAACAGGTCCTTAACATGCCTAATAAATCTGATTGGAAGGAATGTACCATCAGTGAAGATGACGAAAAAGTTTTGGTTGCAAAATTGAGAAAACAATTTGAATCTTACGACTTCAGTTGAATTAATATCTTTTTGTTCATATTTTTCTGTATCCAACTTTGTAATTATAAGCAAAGAAATAAAAAGAATATAAACAACAAGTTACTTTTATTTTATTCATCTAAACTGTACATTCATACAATAAAAAGGTATAGGTATCCAAAACGACAGTCCATTGTATTTAAGTAGATATTTTCATTTTAAATATAATATCTATTAAACATGTATAATAAATATAAACAAAAAAATGATTTAGGAATAATAATAATATTAATTAACAACTGTGTGTGTGTGTGTGTCAATGCATTTGCGTGTATGTGATGCTTTATACCGCTGTAATTAGTTAATAATTATTATAGTCTTTAATAACGGCAATACTTTTCTTTCGCTCTTCTTTTAAATATTATCATTAACAATTTCATACTATGAAAAAACGTTTGCCATTAACTAGTTAATTTCTTTATTTCTTTTTAATGTTTGTTTTATTATCAATTCGTTTGGCACATAGTTTTTCTTTATTTGTATGGAAAACAGAATAATTATACCTACACAGGGGTTGCTTTGATCTTCGTTTGTAAATAGGATCTGCTGTTTTCCATTCAAGGCACAAGCCAAGGAAAAATAATAATTTGAAAAAATGCTTAACTGAGTATTGATATTAATTGAAAAAAAAAATCAAGGACTACATTCTATTTTTTGCAGCAGGCCTTGAAAACAATGAAGAAACAATCGTTGCATTTGTATAAAAAAAAAACAAAAATTGTTTCTTTTTTGGTTGAAGCTAGATAGAGGTTAAAAAGAGTGTTTATTATGGGCAATGCAGCAACAATGGCCAATACCACCGAATAATAATAATTAACGATAACTAATCTATATATAAAAATATCTTAAAAACCAATGTAGCATCCATCGTAAAATTAGTTCTTTCCATTCATCATAAAGCATAAACCGACTGACGATTAGTGTCCTTCTTTTAACAGTTTTATTGTTTTTATCAGTAATGTCCAACGTTTAAAATATTCTTCATGAATTGTAGTTATCAGACTTTCGTCTACTGTTGAAATACTACTGATATCACTAATATTTCTGTTATGAAACGGAAGCAGACGATTCTGGTTGTGCAACTGTTTCTCCAAGTCTTCACAGTGCTGCTCCAAGCAATGATACTCTTGCAGCAACTTTTGATAAGCCTGTCGATCACTGTCGTATTCATTTATAAGTAACTTAGTTTCCTGTTCCAAACGTTTCTTCATATCCTCTTCCGTATCATGCTGACTAGATTTAACGATCTCGTTCATATTTTCCAATTCCTTACGAAGCCTTGCAGTTTCCTGAGTCCAAAGTTGTTTCATATCGTTAATCTCAGTTTTGTATTTGTCCAATTCGTTGACCAAGTCTACTTTATCATCTTTTTCCGTTTTTATTTCTTCTTGAAGCTTGTCGATTACTTTGTTTTTCTCGATGACTAAGTTGTTGAGGTTTCTTATTTCGATTTCTAACGCTTTAAATTTACTTAATTTGGTCCTTGAATAGAAAGAAGTTAATTAGAATAACATTGGAATTTTGAAGGATTGAAAACGTCTTCCATTAAAAAGATTATAAAATGTTAATAAAAATAGTTGTTATAAATTAATATTTGTTGTTACTGCTACTAATTTTATTATGTTTGNAATAATAATTATTTATATTATATATAAAACAATATTCAAATAACTCTTGTATTTTATAAGTCAACCGTCGTAAATATTTTATTGATGAATGAATTGATAATTACGGGTTAGGCCTTTTTAATTGATAAAAATGGAAACATGCTATAAAAAGTATGTTTTTGTTTAAAAACATTGTTTTTCTACATTTAAAAATTGTAATTTTTTAACTTCTGCTTTGGCACCATAGGTAATTTTATTTTTCAAGTAACTGTTCTTTCGCCAGATTTTAATTTTTTCAAATTAATTGGTACATCATACCTCAATGTTTATGTACTTTCCCTTTTTTGATTGCCAAACTACTTCAATTTGTCAAAAAGATTTTGTTTTTGGAACTAACAGTTTCGTATATAACACACTGATTGTCGTCATGACATTATGTGAGGTGATAATTAATTATTATAATACAAATGAAATTGCTTTTAAAACCTTTTAAAATCTTCTTTGCTTCACATGCCACGAAAATCGGGATGCAGTTTTCCAATTAGTTAATTGGGTTTCTTTCATGTCTATCTTATTGAGCTATTGTGTTTACGTAATAGGTAATTATTGATTATTCTTATTAGTTATGATCCTTATTGTTATATTTTATTAGTGCTGATCTATCCTAAACTTTTTTGCTTTTTGTAAAAAGTCGTAAAATATCATATTATGATTAATACTTATATGTATATTCTAGAAGCTCAAGACGGCTATAACTATGTAACAGACATTTTTGCCACCAATGTTGTCGCAAGAGATCCGTATTCCGGAAGATCCGTACAACTCATCGATAGANATTAAACCAAACAATATTGTTATTGTTTAATTACAAGTTACATCAAACAATATTTGCGCATGAGTAGTTTTAAAATTTTTGACAACACAATTGGTAACATTTGACAATATAGTACCTAATTGTAGTCTAGCACTATAACTTGCAGCTAGCATAACCTAAAATTTGGTGCGTGTTGCGTGGTTTTGTGATTGATAGAGTCAGACTAATTAATATCAGTGTCCATATATAATATAGAAAGGCAAACGTTTTTAAAATTTTTTTTCTTATACCTATACTCTTATCGTCGAATTAGTGCCATTATTTAAGTGATGAAAAGAGAAAATGTGACGTGGTGCAGAATAAGGTAGGTGGTAGATTAGTTTATAGTTAATTCGTATTTATACATTGAAATACTTTCCAATAATTTATTAGCTGGTACAACGACATTTAGAATTAATTTTCGTCATATTTCGGTGGAATAGCCTGTTGCTGTTTCATTTAACCAAATGTCTGTAATATCGTTCCTTTTGTCATTTAGCAAATGAATGAAATAGAGGAAAGAAAATCGTTTATATATATTTTCGTAAAGTCAGTTTGCGCCAAATCTGAGAAATAGGGAGTATGTGGCCCTTTCTGATATTTATATTCAATCAAATGGAAACTTAAAGATCTTACTTTATATTAAATAATAATTATT